TCAAGGCTTTAAAATATAATCCAGAGTTCATATGGAGGTGGACTTCGGGGGAGCATTCATGAATGGCCAGGAGTCAGAGCACTGGTCTCAGGGCCTAAGGCATTTGCACGGTTGAGTCCTGTATCCCAAGAAGAGGGGCTAGACAGGAGGTCTTCACCCGGGAGAGTGCCTCAAAGGCCCAGAGTTAGAAATGGTGACTGAATGGTGCCCAGATGCGTCTGGCTTGGAAGTATGTGGGGTACGACAGACCAATTGACAGTCCATGAGGGGGACTCAGCTAGGTCTGTAACACTGTGGTTTTTCAACCAATCATGTTAAAAGAGTGCAAGTTTGTGTATATACAGGGTCTAAGGGGGAAAAAAATGACAGGACCCATCAGAAGCTCTATGTACTGTTGGTCAATGAGTGAGTGACAAAACAAATGTGAGGCTTGATCCTGCAGTCTTTTCTCAAGCAAAATTCCCAGTGAACTCAGTGGAAATATGCCAAAATAAGGATTAGTCAAAGTTTGCCTCCTCTGTACCACATAGTGGTTGTCTTCATTATAGATTTTGCTTTCCACTTCTAGCAGCTTCTATAGGTGCAGCATGTAGAGAAATCTGCATGTATATCTGGACATTACTTGAGGTATTAAAAAAAATGTTTTCCATGAGCATGAGGAGATGTCATATTGTAGTGCACTGACCTTTGGCTTTCCATTTGTAGTACTTCAGGACAGCTTTTTCAAATCTCCTTTTCAAATGCTATAGAGAAATAAAGTTTCTTCTTTGAGTGATGTCCCGGTGAGTACTCCACTTCAAGTGATTGTGCGCCCCTGCGCCTCTAGTCAGAGAATTTCAACAGCAGTACTTGGTTGGGCCACACATGCGCTCGCCCCATCTTGCACCTTGTTGGTGCTGACCGCAAGTTATCTTGGGCTGTTGTTACAGCGTAGTTCGGGGGGAACTGGTAGTGAACTGGCTTTGACTGGCTGGGCTGGTTTGCAGCCACTCGACTGAATAAACAAGAAAAAAGATAAGGAGATTTATGTGTGGGAATAGAAAAACAGTAGTGTTTCCTGCCAGAGCCTGCTTGTAGATGTACACCCCCCCGCCGCCCCCTTAGAAGGAGATGATGATTAAAAACGGCTATGCGAATTGCTTTAGATGAACAGTCTCACCTGCAGACCCTGGCCTTGTGAGTGCCCAGGAATTCCCCACGCTGAAGCAGCGCCTGCTATAAGCCCTCAAGGACAAGGCTGGAGGGTCTTGGACTGTCCGTAGCAGAAGGGGCATAAGCATTGTTGCTTGCCTGCTTGCTTGGTTGCTGGAAAGCACGTATTTAGTAACACGTGAAGGCTGGGAAGCTTATTATACTTTGGCAATAAAACCAGTTATACTTATGCACCTGATGTGGCTTCATTGAGTGTATCTGAGCCCACGCCCTTTGGGTCGACATACCTTTAGCAGCGGTTAACTAGCATTGTGCGGCCAACGCCCCCTCAGTTCCTTCTTTAACCTGAGTTGGAGCTTCGGCAGTGCCTCTGCATAACTTACCTTTAGATATAGGATTAGCGCTATAGTACAGTAGATAGAATAATTAGTTAGCATTTGTTCCCTTTTTTCCTTTTTTCTCCCCATTAAAAATACATATATCTTATTTTTATTTTTACATTTCATTCACCCCTCTTGGGGACAATTTTACCTGAGAATGCCCAGGTCTCCTGGCTTTAAATGTTGCCTCTCCTGCTGAGAGGCAATTTCAGTCTCAGACAGACATTCCCAGTGTGTCAACTGCTTGGGAGGGTAATGCACGTACATCAGAAGTGTTCCCATTGCCACAATCTTAAGGCCCATGCCAGGAAAGTGAGGGACCTTAAACTTAAATGAATTCTTATGGAGAAATCTCTCTGCCTAGCCTCTGATCCGGGACCACAAACTTCTCCTGGTCATCAGTTGCCTATTTCAGTTTCTGACAGACCTCCTCCGCTGACTCTGCATGGGAGGGACCTGTCTCCCAGAAAAAGGGCAAAGAAGAGAGCTTCCACTTCTCCTACAAAGGGAGCCTCGGAAAAGAAGCGTTCTTCAACTTTCTCCACATCCTCAGTATTGACCGCACTGCAGCTAAGTACCTACAGGTCAGCAAGATCTTCTGGTACAGCAGATAACCCCTAAAGCCAAAGACCCTAAGTGGGCAGGCTCTCAGAAGGACAGCAGAGACAAGACTGCCCTTCTACTACAGCACTGACTGCAGCAGCTAAACACTCAGTACCGAGCACCTTTGGCACCGCCTCAGCTTATGGCACCATCTTCTGGCTCTCTGGCACATAGCGCAGAGACAGCGGTGCCAGTCTATTTTACCTCCTTTGGTACAGACATCCATGGCACTGATCTTCCCAGTACCGCAACAACTTACGGTTCCACAACAGTTACTGCCAATGCCATCTTCAGTACTGAGATCTCTTGGAATGCAGCAGTTTCTTTGACGTAAGGATCTAGTAGTTGCTCCGGCACCAGTATCACCTCTTCTCAGTACCAATATAGCGTTGGTACATTCAGCACTGTTACACACACCAACAAACAGATTTGCCCCTCCTTTTTCTAGGGAGGAGGGCGATGATGAGGAAGGAGATGTTTATTCGACGTTGGTGAGGACTCATCTGGAGTACTGTGTCCAGTTTTTGGGCACCACACTACAAGAAGGATGTGGATAAATTGGAGAGAGTCCGGCGAAGGGCAACAAAAACGATTAGGGGTCTGGAACACATGACTTATGAGGAGAGGCTGAGGGAACTGGGATTGTTTAGTCTGCAGAAGAGAAGAGTGAGGGGGGATTTGATAGCTGCTTTCAACTACCTGAGAGGTGGTTCCAGAGAGGATGGTTCTAGACTATTCTCAGTGGTAGAAGAGGACAGGACAAGGAGTAATGGTCTCAAGTTGCAGGGGGGAGGTTTAGGTTGGATATTAGGAAAAACTTTTTCACTAGGAGGGTGGTGAAACACTTGAATGCGTTACCTAGGGAGGTGGTAGAATCTTCTTCCTTAGAAGTTTTTAAGGTCAGGCTTGACAAAGCCCTGGCTGGGATGATTTAATTGGGGATTGGTCCTGCTTTGAGCAGGGGGTTGGACTAGATGACCTCCTGAGGTCCCTTCCAACCCTGATATTCTATGATTCTATGATTCTATTCTTCACACCGCTCTTCACTCATCCAGGGAATCATCAGACCAGATCTAAAGGAACAGCCAGGGCACTGTTCCAGAGCTGGCACTCAGGGATAGTATGGGCATCCATGGATGCCACCACCAATGCCATTCCCACCACAGTGGCCATATTGGGACTTGTGGGCAGTATATAGGCAACATTATTTCAAGCGTCCCAGTATCTCCAGGGAAAGACAGAAAAGCTCCCCATTGGAGTCAGAGACAGGACTCTGTGAACCCCCTGAGGGACTTTTGAGGAAACAGAGGAGGCTTTAGACCAGGAGGCCACTCCTCCAACTAACATTTCCTCCTCTTCAGACAGTTTGTTTACATTTGCACGGCCGCCCGCAGCTCCCAGTGGCCGCGGTTTGCTGTTCCCGGCCAATGGGAGCTGCAGGAAGTAGCGGCCAGCATGTCCCTGCAGCCCACGCCGCTTTCCACAGCTCCCATTGGCCGGGAACAGCAAACCGTGACACTAAGAGCTGTGGGCAGCCTTGCAAATATAAAGAAACTGTCTGGTGGCCTGCCAGAGGATTACCCTGATGGGCCACGTGCAGATTGCCCACCACTACTTTAAATGGGCTGCAGATTGCCCACCACTACTTTAAATCAAGATTTGAGGACTTCAGTAACTCAGTCACAATTTATATGGGCCTATTGCAGGAGTGGGTGGATGGGATTCTCGGGCCTGCGATGTGCAGGTCAGACTAGATAATCATGATGGTCCCTTCTGTCCTTAAAATCTCTGAGTCTAAGATCATATTGATAGGGTCAGCATTATCCTATATGAAGAAATCTCCATGGGTTTGGTGGGGAGTGAAGGTACAGAGAACAATTCTCCTCAGGCCCCACACTGAACCCATCTGTGACCTCCGGATGTGAATAGATTATACATGTGTAAATGTGACATTTTGATTTTGTAGGGTTTTTTTTTAATATAATTTTGAAGGATAATATACATTTTTAATTTTAAGCACTCTATTTTTAGCAATTTAAATTTTCACAGTTGTGGGACATTATGGGTCGTGGTCAGACAATAAATATTTATTGACTATAGACATTGAGATTCAAAAAGTTAAAGCTTGATAACCATTAAAATACCAATTATCAACATCATGTCAGAATATATAAAGTAAATATCCTTAAGGCAAACTCTAATAAGTTCTCAAGCAGCACTTTTTTTACTTTGTTTATCTGTACATTTCTGTTATTGATGGAAACATTTTTGTATTGATTTGTGTGTGTGCAGTAAAATCTATGTTTACTGATAAAAATCTAATTTTTCCAAGTTTACATATGTGCCTCTGTGGAGTTGGAAGGAGAGAAGGGGATGATGCCACTCAAGCTTAGCCGTTGCCCACTTACAAATTTTGGCTCATTCTTCTAGGCTTGTTGTTTCCCTGCCCTCTACAGGTAAAGCTGCATTATTTGGCTCCTTATCAGTTGCTGAAATCTGAGCAGCTTTTTATTATGTCTATGTAGGTTATAACTTAAATAAGCCAAAACATTTTGTTCTGTTCTGAAATATTAGTGTAATTTTCCTACAATACAAAAAATTTTGTGGAGAAAATGTGATTATAGAATAGAAATGAAACACTAAAGATATTTTCATTGCTTCATTGTTGGTCAGTATTTAAAGGTAGAAAGTGGACTTAAATTTGTTTAGAATATATAGCAACAGTCAAAATTGTCATTTAATTTCCCATTTACTTCAATTTTAGTTGTGAGCTTTTAGACCCCACTTGAGAAATCATGAATCGGACTAATTTTTATGCACAACAGAAAGATTAAATGTCATTTATTCTTAAATCCACACTTACAGTTCAGCAGCATATGAAAAGCTAATAGAAGTTGCTAGCCTAGCTGGAAGACTTCGTGACAAAATGACTAAATTTGAAGAAGGGAAGAAAAATACAAAAATTGATCTTTCAAGTGGTACAGCTAATCATTTGAGTGAAATTGTAGTTTTTAGTTCGAAATCTGAATACAAGGACTTTGTAATGGGAACCAGTGCAGGGGTTTTTTAGGGATGGATTCTTTCCCTCATCTTAGCGGCTGGGCACTGGGTACTTGCAAAAGCTAGATTATAGTAGTGACTGCAGCCCCCTGAGATGTCACATTTCATAGATTCCAAGGCCATAAGGGACCATTGTGATCATCTAGTTTGACCTCCTCTATAACAGCAGGCCATAGAACTTCCCCAAAATAATTCTTATTGCATATCTTTTAGAAAAACATCAAATCTTAATTTAAAAATTGTCATTGTTCCAATGATTATGTACTTTCACCATTAAAATGTACACCTTATTTCCGGTCTGGATTTGTTTAGCTTCAACTTCTACCCATTGGATCATATTATACCTTTCTCTGCTAGACTGAAGAGCCCATTATTAAATGTTTGTTCCCCATGTAGATACTTACAGACTGAAATCAAGTTATCACAACCTACTGTTCATTAAACTAAACAGATTGAGCACTTTGAATTGCTCACTATAAGGCATGTTTTCTTATCCTGCAATCATTCTCGTGGCTCTTCTATGGACTCTCTCCAATTTATCAATGAAGATTCTATGAGAATTGCATGGACCACTACTACACACCTGCCACTCCTAAATCTTCAACACTCCTCTTCTGTGTTCATGTAGAGATGACATGAAATGGTACTCAAGGTTCTGTGAAGTCTCCCTGTACAGCCTCTCCACTTTCTTCTTCTTGCCTGGTGGTACTGTTGCATTTTCTGTCTTTTGGGGCTTTCTTAGGTATATATTCCCCTAAGCGCTAAAGGAATGATTTCACCCTTAGCAAACTTTGAGATATATAGATTTTTAGCAGGTTTCAGACTAGCAGCCGTGTTAGTCTGTATCTGCAAAAAGAAAAGGAGGACTTGTAGCACCTTAAAGACTAACAAATTTATTTGAGCATAAGCTTTAGTGAGCTACTGCTCACTTCATCGGATGCATTCAGTGGAAAATACAATGGGGAGATTTATATACATAGAGAACATGCCCCCCCTCTCTCCTGCTGGTAATAGCTCACCTTACCTGATCACTCTCTTTATAGTATGTATGGTAACACCCATTGTTTCATGTTCTCTGTGTATATAAATCTCCCCACTGTATTTTCCAGTGAATGCATCCGATGAAGTGAGCTGTAGCTCACGAAAGCTTATGCTCAAATAAATTTGTTAGTCTCTAAGGTGTCACAAGTCCTCCATATATTTTAGCATTTGGGTGGTGGGATTTTAGACTGTGACACGTTTGTGGAATGGTTTATGAGCATTTACCCAACAAGCAAAAAAAGTAAATAGCATTCATTATGTGAAAGCTCTTGTGTAGTGTTCTTGTTCATAGGTATCATATTCCTTCCCAGGGATTGCATGTTGGTTCAGGTGTTTATAAAGCACTTTTTTTGTATAACCTTTTGTCTTATATGTTAAAACAGTGCTATTTATTTCCACCATAAAACTTTGTGGCATTTACAAATAAGGTAGTATATCAGAGTCAACTGTACATGTTTTGATTAACTACCTAATTGAGAAATCTGTTATGACAATAAGTGAATATTTTCTTGTTGTCCATATCTGAAGATATACATCAGTTGTCCTACTCTGATGTTCCATCATTCCAAAATAAATCGTTATAATAAACAGATGCCTCTGATAGCATAGATAATGTCAATGACATAAAAACATAATTTTGTCAAATTGCAAGCGGCTTCTTTCTGTTGAGCGTCCCGTTGATGTTGCCATATATTTTAGAATTCCACATTCATGTGTTCTATATTATAAAAAGGAACCATTTGTCATAGTATTTATGGTGGCTTCTTAATGTTAATACTGATTTAAGAGAAAGTTTATTTTTGTTTTCAATTTTTTATGCTTGATTTTACATTTCATATTCATAAATTAAATATTTCCTCCTTAGCAATCAATACAGAAGTTGTGATATCAAGTTCTCTCCTGAACAGAATAGTCCATGAATGTACTGCTGTCTTTTCTTTGCCCAGACTTGGTTATAATTTTGACCTATTTTATTGTAATGTCATGCCCTTTATTATATGTCAAAGTGCAAAAGGGAACGTTCTTGTTTAAACAAAAATATGGGAGTAGATTAATCTGTTGATTTTTGTTTTGTTCCATAATTTCAAAATAGGATCCAAATGAAGATACGGAATGGAATGACATATTAAGAGATTTTGGAATTCTACCTCCAAAAGATGAGCCAAAAGATGAAACTGAAGAAATGGTTTTACGTTTACAGAAAGAAGCAGAGGGCAAGTAAAGTTTAAAATGTATGCTCTTAATATAGCAAAATGAAGATCTGAGGATTCTTCAGAAACATTTATCATGACACAAAAATTCTAACATAATTCCACTCTGAAAAATAGAATACTTTGGTTATTTTATTTGGTAGTGTTTTTTATTTTTAATTTTCATTTATTTGTGTTTGAGATGGTTATTTTATTCAGTGCAATATGCTTGTAAAATAACAGAATAATAGCACAATAAAATATATAGATGTGCTAATAACAAATATTACAGTACATGGTATGTAAAATAACAAATCAATAATTCACCTTTGGAAAGAAAAACCACAGGGTGGTTAACATAAGCAATATTGACGTTCAGACAAACTACTGATCAGTTATCCACCCACACAGGCTGGTAAGAACAAAGGGGATCGAATCAGAAAATCAGTCTTCAGGAGGAAAATATGTCTCAGAAAATTATCTTCTTGTCACTGATTTCCAGTACTGCAAACTCCCCATGTGTTTTGTGTATATAACACTGCAAAACAAATTTTTACACAGTGTATGTGACCCAAAATAATAAGGGCAAAATTTTCAAGAGACCTCTGAATTTGTGTCCACTGCTTGGCACATCAAATATTTTCATTCCCTATTACCTCAGGGGCCTAGTTTGCATGCCCACATCTATCGTGCATATGCTTACACGTGTGTTTAACTCTGTGCCAGGAGGTTCAATAAGACTACTCATTGTGCAGAGTTAAACACATTTTAGTGTTTGCAGGATTGGGGCCTAGGTAGTTATGCTTATCTAGTCAATATGTGAACCCAAAGCAAAGATTTACAGTGCCTCAAAACATCCATGTGCACAACTGCTAGTGCCAGTGTAGAGACTGCAGGCTCAATTCTGCCCTCTTCCTCAGCTCCGTTTGATGTAGGTTTTGGGAGGTTGTCAGGAAGCTATTTACAGTTCCCTGATTCTGTGCCAGCCATCCTAGCATGAGTTAGAGCAGTCTAGGGAATCTTATCTCAGTGGAGGATTCGTGGAGAGGAGCAGAATTATGTCATGCCCCTGCCTCGTTCCCACTCTGCCTCCTCCGACTCTCAGCATGCCCTTTATATTGGTGGTGGGGATGCAGCTAGTGTAGGAGCTAGCTCAAGTTGCTTTAAGACACTGGGAGTTTCCCCTGTTGTAGGGGGAATTCTCTGTTGGCCGCTTCTGGCCAAAATCCAAAGACTTTGCGTTACCTGAAAGATGCAAAATGGCTGGAACAAAATGGGAAATCTGAGGCTCCTATGAAAATTTAACCCAATACAGACATGTGTCATGCTGTCTGAGAGCAACATAATATGAAAATGACAAAGCATATAAAGTAACTTATAGTTACTCAAACTTCAGTTATTTTTCTCTTTCTTGCACAAGGTTGCTCCAGTGTTGGCCAAATTCATAGGTGAGACATGAGATGTTTTTCACACTGATACTGCTCTCCTGCCTGAATGTAAAGATTCTGCACATAACAATATTGAAATATGCATAGTTTTTAGTGGACAAAAGCTGACTATTTGGCTTGTTCTTTTTAGTGAAACCATATGAAAGAATGACTCTTAAAGAACTAAATGAAGCTGAAGATGACTTTGATGAGGATGATATGAAAGCTCTTGAAATGTATAGGTACAGTAAGATGTTTCTTGCCATATTCACAATACATATTGTTATTTAGGATGTTTCACACATATGGGATAAAGAAAAATCCCATCCACAAACTGAAAGGAAGAAAATCTACCTACATAGTTATATATTTGAAAATTAAATATTCAGCTAAAAATTAATACTATTAGTTAGAAAAATATTACTTTGCCTTCTGGATAGTATTGTATAACGAGTACTCAGCTCCGTTACAGGGAGGTGCTTACAGAGAGAGAAGCTCTCTCAAGACCATGAGAAAAAATTTCCCAGAGACCACCAGCCAGAAGGGGGAGGATTGTGTAACCTCTGAGCCCAAAGTAAGAGACACAATTCACATTTATTTTGGGTTTGACAAAGTAGAACCAAGCAGGGGAATTTTGTCTTACATTCATTTGAACTGTGTCGAATTCTTAAAGGGGCCTGCGAGAAGAGAAATTGAGGCAGGGATTACCTGCAACATGACATTAGTTCAGTAGGAGGCATGCCTTGCAACAGATGTATACAAAATAAATGTACCAGTATGATAAAGTTATCCACTTGAACTAAAAAACAGAACTGGATTTGAACCATGCCCATTATAGTATACTCCTGTATTGTTAGACTGCTAAAATAGTAGCAATTTAGAAATACTAGACTGGTGTTGATTCCAACTTTCTACTGCTATTTTATGAGAGAAAGAAAGAATTTTAAAAGAATGTTCTCATGAAATCACAGAGTTGTGCACCTAAATCCTCACACATCATGGTAAGAATATATTAAACATATTTTGTTTAATACTTTTTAAAAGAAAGTCAGCTGCTGACTTAAGACAATGACATGGTTTATTTCAATAAATTTTAATAAATATTGGCCCTTGGCTGTGAATTTTTCTCACTTTCTACATTGTCATTATTTTTATAAATGAAGACTGCCACCTGGTGCTTTTGCATTCAAATTTTCATTACAAAATTGTGCACCAGTAAGGTATTAAACTCTGGGTTACTTTACATAATACATAATTTTGTTTTCAAATTCATAAAAACATTTGTGGCCTTTTTTGAATTTGTGGTGTTTGCCTTTTCTTCACTGCAGTAGCAATACAGACATGTAATCTGTTGCAAAAACTTTCTTTTCCTTAATATTTTATATCCTTAATGTTCCTTAGAGTGATGTAAGTACATATAATTTCTTTCCTATCTTCAAGTGTTGTCTCAGTAACTAAATGCCAGCACTGAAGCCTTCTAGCACAAAATTATTCCATTAAAACTTAAAGACATTCAGATATAGATTATTAAAAAAATTGGCACCACATTTCAAAAACAGTTGCCACTTTTCCAAAATGTACAGCAGTATCTATCTAAAAGCAGGATGAAGTACTAAAAGTTGAAAATCATGGTTGTAATATTTCAAACATAAATGATGATGGGTTTATTCAAATGAACTAAGAGATACAAAATTGATATTACAGTAAATTAAATATTAAAAAAAATGTACCAAATAATTTTTATTTCTGAAATAGGCAACAACGGTTGCAAGAATGGAAAATTCTTCAGAAAAGACAAAAATATGGGGAGCTGAGAGAAATTTCTGGTGAACAATATGTGAAAGAAGTCACAAATGCTCAGAAGGATGTGTGGGTTGTAATTCATCTATATAGATCAAGGTAATGCTATGATTATATTTTTTCAAAAGTATTTAAGATTCTAAAATACTTAGCAAAAAAAGATTCAAGATGATGAGATGATAAGAAAGACGATATATGCAAAATAGTTTACCATATCCTCACTACGGGGAAAAGAAATCTTAGAAAATAGGATTTCTCCTGTGTTGGTCCTCCTTGCTCCATCAGTGCAATACATAGGATTTCTTCACCTTTGACTCACATAGAGGTAATGCAAAAGATCTTTCTTGCTAGCTACTGTTGGCACTTGGCAGACATGAATTGTGCTGGAGGGCAAACGTTCCTCTGCAGCCCTCCTTCAGGGTTCCACTCTAAGGATTTTGCTGCCTTTTTTTTTTCTTTCATTCTCTCACTCCAGCAGATTAGCAGTGTGGTAGGGTGAGGTTCTTTCCTGAAGGACTAAGGTACGTCGACTCCAGCTACGTTATTCACGTAGCTGGGGTTGCGTAGCATAGGTCACATTACCGCAGTAGTGTAGACATAGCCTCACTCCCCTTGCCCGAGTAAGAGAAGATCATGCTCTGACCGGGATGACACTAAGAAGAGAGTGGTCCCTCCCACAGCTCCTGAGATGCAAACTGCAGGAATGCCGTCCCCAGCTAGAACCGTGGTACTAACTGCTTCTGACAGGAGCCACAAGGCTGCTCCTAGACTGACTACCTCAGCCTCTGATAGTAAGTCTAAGGATCATGCCGAGGTGAAACAGCAGCTATTGGTGCCATCGTCTGTTGTGGGTGACCAAAGTGAGCCCTTTACCCCCTTCGTGGCTCCGGGTTCCTTTTTGGTGCCTAGGATGCCGTTGACACCGGCACCTGCAAAACAGCTGGCTCCAGTGAAGCCCTTGGCCCCAACACTACGCACTGCCCTGAAGCTCTCGGCTCGGAGAAGGACTCCAGCACGGTTGCAAACTCCTACTAAAGCTGACTCCGAAAAGCTCTCTGGCACCATCTGTTGACTCTTTTCCATATCACACCAGGGCACCATGCTCAACACAGGCACTGAGGAGAGATCACCCACAGGAATTCACACAGCTGTCAGACTTCACTATATCTGACACTCTGGATTCTCCACTCCTCAGACAGGAGATGTCCCAAGTCTCACACACTTCTCAATCAATACACTCTTCACGTTCTTCAACAGAGACAGCACCTTCTTTCCTTAGTGATGTTGAGGAGGATGAGGGTGATTATCAAGACTCTCTTGCCCCATCAACATCAGGGCAATTGACACCAACTTACCAGCCTTACCCTGCCACAATTCAGGGCACCCAGCCTTTTCTGGGGCCCCCATGAATGCAACCATATATTCCCTTTCCCTCTAACTGGCCACATTGGGGCCCCTGGGCCATGTATAGGGCACAATTTGGTAATCCCCCACCGTTACAAACACGCCAGCCTCCATCAATCCCCTCCTCAACAATCTCTTGACCTCCAGAACCACAGCCTCCACAAATATCACCACTGGAAGAGGAACTGGAAGGAGAGCAGGATGTTTTCTTCATCCTCACTTGATGAAGCCATCATGCCAGCACCTCCCACAGTGGCTGATGATTTTTGTCACTTTCAGGAGTTGTTTCGTAGAATGTCTGACACCCTAAACATCCCATTTGAGGAGGTCAAGGAATAACAACATGAACTGATTGACACTCTCCATACCTCCTCAACAACAAAAATTGCCCTACCTATTAATGGTGCACTACTTGAAACTGCAAACCTTCTTTGGCAGACTCCAGCCTCTATCCCCTCTAGATGCAGATGGGCTGCCATAAATATAAAGGGAAGGCTAACCACCTTTAAATTCCTCCTGGCCAGAGGAAAAACCCTTTCACCTGTAAAGGGCTAAGAAGCAAAGATAACCTCGCTGGCACCTGACCAAGATGACCAATGAGGAGACAAGATACTTTCAAAGCTGGAGGGGGGGAAACAAAGGGTCATCTCTGTCTGTGTGATGCTTTTGCTGGGACCAGAGCAGGAATGCAGGTCAGAACTCCTGCAAAGAGTTAGTAAGCAATCTAGTTAGATATGTGTTAGATTCTGTTTTGTTTAAATGGCTGATAAAATAAGTTGTGCTGAATGGGATGTATATTCCTGTTTTTGTGTCTTTTTGTAACTTAAGGTTTTGCCTAGAGGGATTCTCTGTGTTTTGAATCTGACTATTCTGTAAGGTATTTCCCTTCCTGATTTTACAGAGGTTTTTCTTTTACTTTTTCTTTAATTAAAATTCTCTTTTAAGAGCCTGATTGCTTTTTCATTGTTCTTAAGATCCAAGGGTTTGGGTCTGTGTTCACCTATGCAAATTGGTGAGGATTTTTATCAAGCCTTCCCCAGGAAAGGGGGTGTAGTGCTTGGGGGGATATTTTGCGGGGGAGACGTTTCCAAGTGGGCATTTCCCCTCTTATTTTTGTTAGACACTTTGGTGGTGGCAGGATAAGTTCCAGGGACAAATGGTAAAACAGTTTGTACCTGGGGGAAGTTTTAACCTAAGCTGGTAAAAATAAGCTTAGGGGGTCTTTCATGCAGGTCCCCACATCTGTACCCTAGAGTTCAGAGTGGGGAAGGAACCTTGACATGGGCAGATACGAAATATTATGTACCTGCAAAAAATGCTAAGTTTTTATTTTTACATCCTGCCCTGAATTCCCTTGTGGTGAATGTGGTGCAAGAGAAGGGCCATCAATGCCAATCCTGATCCAGTCATCCTGACCGAGACTGGAAATGTGTAGATCTCCTGGGCAGAAAATCCTATAAATCTGCTACCCTCCAATTTCGAATTTCCAACTATGAGGCCTCTTATGGCCAAATATGATTATAAAAATTATTCTAAGCTGGAGGAACTTTTGCCAGAATCTGCCAGAGGAAAAAAGGGAACAATTCCTGCCCCTCATTTTGGAAGGTGACTTAATAGCCCACCCGGCCCTGCAGGCCTCCCTGGACTCAGCTGACACAGCTGCCTGATCCATTGCTACTGCGGTAGTAACGGGACGTGCATCATCGTTGCACCTTTCAGGATTCCCTAAGGAGGTGCAAAATATGGTTGAGGATCTCCCTTGTGAGGGACAAAATCTCTTTTCTGAGCACACAGACAACTCCTTACAGTCACTGAAATACTCCCAAGCCACTCTACAATTTCTTGGTATATATGCACCACAGCCAAAATGAAGATCAGGGAAATATCAGCTCCCTCCATGATTTTACCTCAGCCATACTACCCACAGCGGCAGTTTGACAACCAACGCCGTCGTCACCGACCTCCCAACAGGCACAGACAATCGCCTGCACTAGGGACACTGTTGAAAACACCCTCTAATAAGCAGCAAATTTGAAGGTGTGGTCAAGGCCCAGAGAACCTCCTGCCTGCTCTAGTTGCCCCTACCATCTGTAACGCCATCTACACACTGACAGTTTGGCAACCACCTAGCTCCATTTTTACCATCTTGGATGCTCATTACCTTGGACAGGTGGGTCCTGGAAATAGTAATGGAAGGTTACTCCATCCCCTTCCTAGCTATACCATCCACCCAACCTCCGTCCCTGTCCCTCTTCAGGGACCTCGCTCACAAGCCCATCCTGTGGCGGGAGGTGAGACATCTTCTTCAACTAGGAGCCATAGAGTCAGTCCCTCCACAATACAGAGGATGCGGTTTCTACTTTCACTACTTCCTGATACAAAAGAAGTCTGGTGGTTGGCGCCCCATACTGGACCTTTGCAATCTCAACAAGTTTGTCAAACTACAATGTTTCAAGATAGTCAACCTATCCACCATCATCCCAGCACTGGAACAGGGGGATTGGTTCTTGGCCCTTGACCTACAAGATGCATACTTTCATATTGCACACCCTGCTCACAGACTTTTCCTATGATTGATTGTCGGCCATGGTCACTACCAGTACAGGGTACTACCCTTTGGACTATCCACAGCTCCCATAAGTTTTTCCAAAGTACTCGCAGTGGTAGTGGCCTTCCTCTGCAAACAAGGCACCACCATTTTCCCAAATCTAGATGACTGCCTTCTCAAAGTGCTACCTGAGACCGAAGCACTCCGAGCAGTCCATGCTACAGTGACCCTCTTTACAAAACTGGGCCTCCTTATCAATTTTGAAAAGTCCACACTAACCCCAAGGTAAACACTGGAATTCATTGGTGCTGTACTCGATACCAAGCAGGCAAGATCGTTTTTACCACCTCACAGGTTCACAGCGACAACACAATCGCCCGAGCATGCCCCCAAATCTCAGCACGTACATGCCTCTAATTTCTGGGACATATGGCTGCAGCTACGTTTGTGGTCAGACACGCAAGACTGCACATGTGGTGTCTTCAGGGCTGGCTCCATACAGTATATCTTCCTCACAAACACAGCATTCAGAAACTCCTGTCCGTGCCAGCCCAGGTCAAGGACTCACTACTGTGGTGGACGTGCCCTGACAGTGTCTGTGCTGGGGTCCCTTTTCTTCAATCTCCATCTACTATCATACTTACCACCGATGTCTCCCTCTTTGACTGGGGAGCGCATCCATGCAAGCACATTATACAGGGCAGATGGACGCCCACCAAGACCACCTTACACATCAGCCTCCTGGAACTGAGGGCGGTCCACAATGCCAACATTTCCTACCACTCCTCAGAAACCAGACTGTTCGAGTAATGACGGACAACCTCGCTTGCATGTATTACATCAACAGGTAAGAGGTGCCAGGTCCCATTCCCTATGCTCAGAAGCGATCAAGCTATGGAACTGGTGTATCCACAATGACATCTCCATCTCTGCTGCGTATCTCCCTGGACATCAGAACACGACCGTGGATACACCGAGCGGAACCTTCTTGCACGAGCATGAAAAGCAGCTTAACATGAGAGCACTCCGACCCATCTTTTGCCAATGGGGTCATCCCACCATAGACCTTTTTGCCACTCACGAAAACACCTGCTGTCTTCAGTTTTGTTCCAGACCAGGCCTGGGACGCGATTCACTTGGGTATGCATTCCTTATGAACTGGAATGTGCCACTTCTTTACGCCTTCCCTCCTTTTCCCCTCCTGTTCCGAGTCTTACGCAAGATACAGGAAGATTAAGCTCTGGTTATACTAATAGTACCGACATGGCCACGACAAGTCTGGTGCACGTACCTGCTTCGCATGACACTCTCTCAGCCTATAAACCTTCCCCGAGCATTGTGGCTCCTCTCTCAGGACAGGGGATGCATTCACCATCCCAATCCTCAGATGTTCCACCTGAAAGCTTGGCTCCTTCGTAACTCCAGGATTCGGAAATAACCAGTTCAGATTCAGTAAAACATATCTTGATAAATAGCAGGTGCGATTCTACCAGACATACCCTATTCCCCACAAGTGGAACTTTCCAACTTTGGTGTGGTGACAGACAGGTCGATGCAGCCTGCGCTCCATTACCTCCCATAATGGACTACCTCCTTCAACTCAAACAGCACGGATTGGCTTTTAGTTCTCTTAGAGTGCACCTGGCTGCAATTACTGCATTCCACTGCCCTGTTGAGGGATATTCAGTATTTGCACACCCCCTTGTCAAAAGTTTTCTTAAGGGTGTTCGAAACCTATACCCTGACCTACGTCCCTCCACCCAATCCTGGGATCCCCGCCTTGTCCTACGCTCTCTGACTAGACGTCCATTAGAGCCAATGGCAACCTGCTTCATCTAGCAGTGAAAACAGCCTTTCTCATCGCGATTACATCAGCATGACGCGTGGGAGAAATATCAGCCCTTATGGCATACCCGCCATATACAGTGTTTTATAGGACAGAGTGAACCTCCGTCCCCACCCAAAATTCCTGCCGAAGGTTATAACGTCCTTCTATCTAAATGAGCCTGTACACCTCCCCTCCTTCATTCCCAACCACACAACAATTACCAAGAAGCAGCTCTCCACACTTCAGATGTGAGACGTGCATTGTTGTTCTAATTGGATAGAACCAAACCGTTCAGGAACTCGCCATGCTTGTTCGTATCCATTGCCAAATGCTTTTAAGGCTCCGCCATGTCTAAACAACAGTTCTCTAAATGGATTTCCCAGTGCATACGCCTGTCTTACGAACTTCACAATAAGCAACCACCTGCCTCTATCCGGACACACTCCACACAAGCGCTCTCAACCTCCATTGCATTCCCCAATAATGTTCCCATAATAGATATATGCAGGGTTGCCACATGGGCGTCCTCTGATATGTTTGCCCAACATTATGCCATCTTGTAAGATTCCTTGATGGACACCATTCTCAGACGTAAGGTCCTGTCCTCGGCGATACCAGCCACTCTGAAGCCCCAACTTTCCAGCTAGGGGCACTGCTTTATAGTCACCTACAGTGAAGCACCCATGGGGACATCACTCGAAGAAGAAAGGGATACTCATCTTGTGCAGTTCTTCGAGATGTGTGTCCCCACAGGTGCTCCACTACCTGCCCTCCTCCCCTCTGTTTCCAGGCTTAACGTTTGGGCTCTACGTTAGAGAAGAAGCTGAGGGCGGTTGGCCGCACAACGCTATTTATACTACCCATGCACAGCACGGGGGAGAGGATGTGCGCATGTGCGGTCCAATGGGCACTGCTATTGAAGATCTCTGACTCCACACACAAAGGTGCTGCCGAACCTACAGTGGAGCACCCAAGGGGGGACACATCTTGAAGAACCTCAGTTATTGCACCAGGTGAGTAACCCTCTCTTGTGTTACAAAATTCCAGGCATGAAGGCCATGGACCAACATGATGTGGCCATACCACCATACTGAGATTTTTTTTAAAAATTTTACTTTATTTAGAGTTCTTTGGGGGGAAAAAAACTTAAAATATCAAATGTAAAACTATGAAACTGAATATCCAAATAAGAGTAAACGTAAGTGTATTAAAACCTCAAATACAAAAACTGCATTAAGTGGACACAGACCAAGGTTTGTCGATGGTGGAAAAAAAACAAAACTCAGAACACATGGAACTTATATAGCAGTAATAACCAACAGTATATGTATCTTGACATTCATGTAAATATTTTCAGTTTTTATTTCAACAGCCTTTTTCCATAAGACTCCTTGTAGGAGAAACCAGACAGGAAATCTGTAGTGGAAGTCCCATTATAGAGCAAAGTAGAAGCATACTGACTACATGTAAAAATTCTATTATTGAAAGGTTATTCGTATGGATTCTAAGTATTTTCTTGCATGTTTCAGACTGTTGTGTCAGAACTTTCATCAAACCTATCCATTCTTTTCTAGCATCCCAATGTGCTTACTAGTTAACCAGCATCTCAGCCTGCTAGCCAGAAAGTTTCCAGAAATCAAGTTTATCAAAGCCATTGTGAATAGCTGTATTCAAAACTACCATGACAGATGTTTACCCACAGTTTTTGTGTACAGAAATGGTCAGATAAAAGGCAGGTTCATTGGAATTACTGAATGTGGAGGGACAAATCTTAAACTAGAAGGTAATATAACAAATATGTTCAAAATAATTTTATAGTAATCTAATGTAGTTAATAATCATCAATTCTTAAAATCACTTCTTGGGATAGAACAGTCTTTGATAGTGTTTTTGTACCTTAAACAGGAAAAATTAGGAATTAACTGTTAATAAAAGCTTCTGCATTTCTACTGTAGCACAAATATTAGTATGTGTTGATAGCTTGCAATGCTATACATAAGGTAGGTATGGTGGGGATGGCACCTGTGTAACATCTGATCTTTCCTATGGAGGAGGATTTAATCTAAAAAAGGGTATACATTCACTCTTAAGTGTGAGTCCTCAACCCAGTTCCATGGGACCAGGCTATGCAGGGGCCTTTCCCATATACCCACCATTCCACACTTGGCTGCATGACCCCTACTGGGAGAAAACCTCATTAACTATCTGATGATCCCTTGACAAACATTTTTGTCTTGTCCTAAACTATCCAAGTTCCAGTTCCATTTATATATATTCTGCAGCTATTGCAACACTATTCTATCTGTCTCTATATTGTAGGTGCTTACTTGGTCCCCATTACATTAATATCTGAGCAAATCACAATCTTTTTAATGTATTTATCCTCACAACACCCATTTGAGGTAAGGAAATACTATCATCTCCATTTTGGAGGGAGGAGACTGAGGCACAGAAAGACTAAATGACTTGCCCAAGTTCACAAAGGAAGTCTGTGGGAGAGAAGGGTTGTGTTATGTGTGCAGTGGATCACTTTTTTGTGGATAAGTCCACGTTCCTAAAAGCAGTGGGAAAAACTGATCCTGTTGTTTTGATTTCTTGTTCCCGTCCTTAAATATAGTTCTTGGTGTTCTAATAGCACTTCTCTTTGAGACCCTGTGACGAAGTGGGACTGTTCTTAATGTTTTCTCTGAATATTGTGGGGGTGCCTCAGTTTCCCCTATGCGGTTCTTAAGTATCTAGGTGGTGGGATAAGGGTGTATGATTGTTGCAGAGCCCTAGAGGGCAGGTGTGTGCAGGGGTCTGGACACAGAGAATGGCCAACACCCTGTTTCCTGGCAACTGATGGCCTGGCCCTTCCCCTCTGCAAGGTGAGAACTAAAGGGTTGAAGACAAAGAGATCAGGTGACCTCCTGGCCCGGGAAAGGGACAAAGCCCAGAGGAGGAGGGGCTGGAGAGAGTTTCAGTTGGGGCAGGCTGGGGACGAGGAGTGAAGTGCAGACGTGGTTGTCAGACTCACTGCCCCCCAAAATGGACCTGGCTGAGGGGTCCTGTTCTCTGTACCTACAAGCTCTGTTTTAGACCATGTTCCTGTCATCTAATAAACCTCTGTTTTACTGGCTAGCTGAGAGTCACGTCTGACTGTGAAGTTGGGGTGCAGGCCCCTCTGGCTTCCCCAGGAGCCCCGCCTGGGCAGACTCGCTGTGGGAAGTGCACGGAGGGACAGAGGATGCTGAGTGCTCCGAGGTCAGACCCAGGAAGGTGGAAGCTGTGTGAGCTTTTGCCCTGCAGACAGTCTGCTCACAGAAAGGAGACTTCACCAGAGTCCTGACTGGCTTTGTAGGGAGCAGTTCCAGTTCCAGAGGGGACTCCGTGACAGACCCTTACGAGAAACACTGTTTACTTGAACCCAGGCTCATATCCTATGAAGCACACTAGACCTTAGTTATGCAGCAGAGATCCTGGAATTAAGCAGCATGGGTTCTCTCTCTCATGCAGTTAAATCAGTGTAGTGTTTTGTTTAACTTTTTTATGTTAAATTGAATTTTATTTATACTGCCCAAACTGTTAAACTACCCATTTGCTGCACATTTTTGAACTGACAAAGATCTCCATTGTAGAACATGTCAGGTGAAACCTGGAGGTTTTGACAGCTGTGAATGGGACAGTTACAGTTCTTAGCCCCCCAGAAGGCATGGAAACTAGTTTTGGTTTTGAAGAAGCAGTTGAGGCTTTTGGAACCCGGGAGGGGATGCATCTCTAACTTCCCACTTTTCAGCAGAGGAAGAAATTACATTAAGCTTTTGGGGTGGATGGAGCCTTGAAGTCCTTATTCCTCACCCAGCAACTTCCACACCACAATCTTTAATATCAGCAGCACAAAGGGAAGCAGTTTAAAACACTTCCTCATCATCTTCTGCTCCTACAACTTCTATTCCTGAGGTCATTCTGCACCAAAAAATTAAAAATTTTGCAAAATTCTGCAAATTTTATTTGTCAAATAAATGTGGAGGCTCCAGCATGGCATTGGGAAGCACAGGCCACTGGCTCCACAGAGGTGGGAGATCACTGTGCAGCTCCCACCGGGACACAAACTCAGCCATGAGGCTGCACCCAACCCTAACACAGCACAAGGACTGGGCCTACCCCAGAAATACTCCAAGGTCCTGACGCTCCATTTGGGCAGGCAGGCTCAGCAAGGCAGGATCCAAGTGTAGAGGGGCTTAGTGTGGGGGATCCAGGTGTGGCTTGAGAGGGTTCTGTTTGGGGCAAACTGGGTATGGGTGGCTCGGGGTGGGGGGGGATCTGGATGCACAGGGGCTTGTTGGGGGGTTCTGGTAATGGCAATGGTAATGGAACTCTGCAGGGGGGGTCAGGTGAAGGTGGTTGGGTTCAGCGCGTGGCGTCTGGTGGGTGTGGGCGGTATAGAGCTCAGCAGGGGAGTCTGGGTGTGGGGGGCTCAGTGGGGGTCCAGATGCTGGGGGAATGGGTTGGGGATCCAGGTGTGGGTGGCTTGTCAGGGTGGTCCAGGTGCAGGGGGAGTGGGGCTCATCGTGGGGGTTCTGAGTGAAGGGAGTTGAGACTTGGCACAGGAATCTGGGTATGAGGGGGTCTGGATGCATGGCGGATGGGGGAGCAGCTCAGTGTATAGGGAAACCTTTCCCTGCAGCTGATGAGTGATGGGTGCAGGAAGCAGGGTTGGGGGGAGTTTTCAGAGCTTCCTGCAGCTGGGGGAGAAATCTGGGGGTGGGTTTAACCCAGCCCTGGATGCCCCGCAGGGGAAGAGGAAGTCCTGTCCTCTTTAGCCCAGCTGTGGCTAGTGGCTGAGCCTGGCACAGAGTAGGAGCCACCAGCCGGGTTTTCCCCAGTCCTGCCTCCTGCCCCACAGTGATTTACCTCTCTGCCGGCTGCCTTGGGCACCTGAAACATGTTGCTGGGGAGGGTCACATAACCACTCTTGTGGCTTCCCTTTGCTTCCCCATCACAAAGTTATTTTTCTGCAGAGAAGCAAAGAAATCTGTGGGGGACATAAATTCTGCACACACGCAGTAGCGCAGAATTCCCTCAGGAGTAAACTTCATTATCTTCTAGTCAATAGATTTGATATGATGCCTGATACTCCAGTCCCAGGCTTGTTTTCTAAACCTTTCCCTTCCCAGTAGGAAGACTACATCAGTCATTTCTTTTCAAAATGGAGTGGAATTACCATGGATCGCTGGGTTTTAGAGAGAACCAACCTGGATAATGTGATTCACTTCCTCTTTGTATTGAGTACCAACTTCCATTTCTCCATCCAATTTTAAGGTCATGAGCCAAGATATTCTAAAGTGACAAGTGTTTTTTGTGTTCCTCAATTTTTGGGTACACAACTTGGGACATTCTATGTGGGCTGATTTTCCAAAAGTGCTGAAAATTGAGCCTATTTAAAGTGTCATGTTAGGCACCTAAAGTGAGGCATGCAGAATCATTTCTCACTGTAGAAGATCATGTCTCCTGTTCACAGGATGCTTAAAGAAGAGATTCTCTTTGTGGCGAGGAACCACAGTAGTGGTACTTTGTTAGTTTCAAGGCAAGGAGTTCTACTCCCACTATTTTCTTATTCCAAAAAGAAACAGTGGTCTGTGTCCCATCTTGGGTTTGAGAAGACTAAAATATATCAAAAGATTTATGGTCCAGGTAGCAACAGTAGCCTCTATCTCTACCTTATGTGTTCAAAGCTCATTTGGGTTTCTTGTTTTAAAGAATGCACATCCGTATTTCCATCAAGGATGCTTATGAGAAAATAACTTGGTTTATATGCGACAAGCAATCATGTTCACTGCAGCTCTTTAGAAGGACACTGTCAGTTTGAGTCACATATGAACAAGTATGTTAAGGTGGACACTTCAGGTACTCAGGCACACATGAATGGGGCTAAAAAGCTGATTCTGTGTTCACAATAGCCATATTCACTTTGCTGCATGCCTGCTACTGTAACACATAGACTGGAGTAGTGGCTGTCTGCTACTGTTTTCCCTTTATACACGTTTGTAGAGATTTTGCACAGTTCATTAACCCATAGGCCATGCCCCTGTCCCACCACTACTATCCTGCTAACACCCTTCACTTCCAGAAAATGAGCTATTGTAGAGCTTGGCTTTGTGGCTTGTGGAGGCCTCTGAAATCATGCTATGTGCCCCCTATGTATCCAAGCCCCACTGTGCAGCTTAATTGTGGTGGTTCTGCTGTGTTGTGTGTTCTCTGTAGCTCTCAAGATTTTACCCTATACTTGTGCAAAAACTATCGGTGGAAATATTTCAGTTTTTCTAAAAATCTGTATTAACGGTTTATCCACAATTCAAATAAATCTCAATGTGGATAGAGGTATTGAGAAGCTATATTGGACTGCCAGTACTAAAATCTTCTATGCAATTTGTTTGCTGCACTAATAACATTTTTAATACTGGACATTCTGTGGTTCTGTGCCTGACTCTACATTTCAGATTTGCTCTCAGTAGAATTGTTGGTTTGTAAGAAATGACAAAATAGGAAACTGTTTAGTTTCTTGGCCAATCCTTGATCGATCTTCCATTGAATGGAAGGGTTAAATGATGTCCTGGAGTAATCCAGTTTGGACAAGGGCTGTTTTCTAAACAACTGTACTAATATAGACTGTCACCCCAGCAAGGTTCTATTGTAGTTTAACATGGCTTTTAATAGTTGGATGTAGACACACACCAACTCTCTCTATGCTCTAAACAAGGAGTAATTCAATGGAACTATAAATGTAAAGTTGGTAAAGTTGGTGCAAGACAAGAATCAAGCCCAACTCCATATAATAGCTACTTGTGACATGGTGTTACCTGCATGTTTCACTTGTCATAATTCATCTAATCTCTTTTTGATTGTCTGATTTGAAAATTCAATTACCAATCCGGTCCATTGGTACCTGTTAAAAAGCTTTTAACAATTTGCAAATTGTATGTATAAATGCATTTTATTACTGTATCTGATTTTTTTTCAGTTCTTTGTTTTGTCATTATTTGTTGTTACAGAGCTTGAATGGAAGTTAGCACAAGTTGGAGCAATAAAAACTGACTTAGAAGAAAACCCCAAACAAAACATTAAGGATATGATGATGTCTTCAGTTAGAAGTGCTTCTATTCATGACACCAACAGTGCTAGTAGGGACAATGATGAGACCAAATGTTACTCACACAGGAATTTTTAATGCTAGTACTCTGTATTGATGTTTTTATGTTTGGTCAACATATGTATGTTTATTACTGGTTTCATAAATCTGAAAAAATGCAGAGATTTGGTTTATATTTATACTTTCAGTTTAAACTTCTAGAAAATAATATACTGTCTAAAGGCCAAATTCTACCCTTGAATATATACACATGGCTCATATTGAAGTGGAAGGGCCTTGAATCTCCACTTCATCTAAGTTCCACTCAACTGGAATGGAGAGGTGGGGTCAGAGGGAGCTAACTGTTGCTTTCTGATTCAGGGCTGCCTGGCATCAGTACAAGTTGGGATTCATAGGGGTAATACTAACTAATGTCACTGGTTAACGACTGAGTGTAGTTGAACTCCACTCTGCCAAACCTCTTCCCCATTTCTCCCATCAAGAATCTGGCCCAAAGGATATTATAGGCACACCCATCCAGGAGCAGGATTTAGCCCTTAATCTGTTGAATAAAGCAGATTTTTAGTACATGAGAACTGCATTTTGTAATCTTCTCCAATGTCAAGGATAATTCTCCAACTGTTTCTAATACTGACAATTAGTCTAAGTTTTCTTGAAGAGAAACTGATGCTTACTTCAGAGTAGTGCAGTGCATTGATGAACAAAGCCTAAAGTTATGGACGTAAATGCAATGCAGTGCATTGATGAACAAAGCCTAAAGTTATGGACGTAAATGAGCTGAAACACTTCCTAATTCAGCATTATTATTTATTGTGGCTATTTATTCAAATATCACATAATAATGTACTTCCATCATGCTGTCCTCATATCCTCAACTGAAAAAGTCTCACTGCGCTAATGAAGACTTCCCTATATAGAGTCTACTCAGGGCATGTCTACACTTAAAACGCTGGATCGGCGCAGCTTCACCAATGCAGCTGTGTTGCTGAAGAGCTTTAATGAAGATGCTCTAAGCCGACAGGAGAGCACTCTCCTGTTGTCTTAGTTAATCTGCCTCCCTGAGACTATGTCACTCAGGGATATGGACCAATATAGGTCTGTAGCGTAAACCTAAGATGGTTCATGGACTATATATGCAAAAACATCCAGCATTCAGTTCACACTCAGCACATGTACGATTGTACAGCTATATGACTGAGCAAAAACATAACAGGGTGTGCAGCTTCCTACTGGCCATTTCCCATATAGTAATAGATTCAAGAATCCATTAATATTTTTGCTCATAGTAATCTAAACAATTTTATATTGAGTCTGCTCATACATTCCATGTACTGCAGCTCATAGTACTTTCAATGCAATCAACTAAGAATGGTCCATTGGCAGCTGGAGTATTACTGCCTTATCTCATGCACTCCAGGGTGTTTTGGAGATTTTTCTGTTGGGATTCAAGATGAGTCTCAGAGACTTACAATTTCTTTCCTTTAAGCCAGGTTTCCTTATTATAGTGATCTAGATCAGTATTTTTCAGAGTTTGGGGCGCGACCCAGTACTGGGTCATGGCATGTAAGGCACTGGGTCACCTTTCTCAGCACCCAGGGAACCTAGCGGGTCTGGTCAGCACCGCCGACTGGAACATTAAAAGTCCCGTCGGCGGTGCTGCCCAGCTAAGGCAGGTGAGTGCCTACCTGTTCTGACACCACGTTGCATCCCAGCTTCTAGGCAGGGGGGCCATGGGGCTTTGTGTGCTGCCCCCGCCTCGAGCACCAGCTCCACACGCCCATTGGCCCGTTCCCAGCCAATGGGAACTGTGGGGGAGGTGCCTGCAGGCAAGAGTTGCATGGAACTTCTTGTGGGCCTCTGCCTAGGAGCCAGACCTGCCGCTGGCCACTTCCAGGGCGCAACGCAGTCCGCAGTGCCAAGACAGGCGGGAAGCCTGCCTCTGCACCCCAGCTGCACTGCTGACTGCGCTGCAACCTTGAGCCCCCCCCAACCCAGAACCCCTTCCTGCACCCCAAATCCCTCATCCCACCCCAGCCCAGAGCCCTGACCCCCTCCTGCACCTCAATCCCCTGCCCCAGCTCAGAGTCCCCTCCTATACCCTGAACCCCTCATTCCCGGCCCCACCCCGCAGCCCTCACTCCCACTCCCACACCCCAACCCTCTGCCCTAGTCCTGAGCCCCTCCCACACCCCAAACCGCTCATCCCCAGCTCCGTTGGGTCATGGACATCAACAATTTTCTTCAGCTGGGTCTCCAGAAAAAAAAGTTTGAAAACCACTGATCTAGATGATGACTGACTGAGCTGAACTGCCTTTCATCAACTCTACCTTCAGTTCTTTCCAGAAAAGTGTTTTTCAATTTCTTTGGAATTGGTCTTCAAGATGACTACTGTATTCCTCCTGAACTAACCCATTTTTCTTCCTTTCTGGCCAAAGCAGGTGCCTCGTACCCCATGGCAAGAAACTGCTTTTATTAGATGTTAGTTATATTGTCAAATTTAATTCCTCTCATTCTCAAGCATTTAGAAAGTCAGAGATGTTTGTTTTGAGGGCTGCAACAAGAGTAATGGCTTGGTTTAAGACACTGTTACTAGATGGGCCTGAGACTGCATTCTCACAGGCTAATGAGTATCATACTGAGCTTGTCAAATGCTATTTGACTACAGATGCCTCCACTTCATTGGTAATGAGGATCAAAGTGTTCCAAGATATGTAAGTTAGTGATTTAGTTGTCTCCTCCCACTTATACATCATCATCCATTTGACTTCTTCATTCTCATGATGCCTCCTGCTAGCAAACTTTTTTTTAGGGTGTGTCTGCACTTGCGACTGTACAAGATTACATGTGTGTTGTGGTACCATAGCCTCCCTGTTGTCAATATCTGAAGCTCTGAAGCATGTTTCTGAAGGACAGTGTAATGAGTGAAAGCTAGCACACATGACGGGGGTGGGTATGTACATGTATCCACTGTTGCATTGCCCTGTACCCATTCTACAGTGCAGTATGGATGAGGATAATGGGCAGGTTCCATCTTATGGGTATCAATAGTCCTCTAGGGCCATTCCCATAATGCATTGATCCCTTTGCTGTCTGAACCTTACCCAAGAGTACAAAGCTCCCTGACCTCCCCACCTCTTTGCCAATGGTAGTAGCAACCTGCACTGAGCACTTCAGGGGGGTTTCTGCTGAAATCTATTGATCAATACAGGTGATCATGGTCTGAGGGTAGCCTCCTGGTCTCCGGAGCACACACAGGTGCTGGTCATTGTTTGGTCAGACTACACCATCCTCCATGACTTCGCCTGACTTGGCAAGAATATTCACCTGTCCCAGGGATATTCCCAGAGGCGGGCATTCCCTGATTCCATTCCAGTGCTGGGAGTGCATGAAGCACCTCCCACTCCTGTACTGGAGGGCAAACGACTCTAACAATTGCTCTGGGCAGGGACCTAGCACATGCCCATGCTTCAGTGAATGGACTTGGAGCTCTTCCAGGGCTGCAAGTTAGGAGCCTAAAGTCACTAACTACCTCCTCCTCAATACCGCCGGCCTCATCATATGATGGCAGGCTGGTGAGGGGCAGGACAAAGAGGTAGCAGGGACCTTGGAAAAAGTCCTAGGAGAGACGGAGAAGAAGCATGTGTTTCTGCACCTCTACCCAGATGACAAATCCCCACCCCCAAGCCACTACAGGAAAGACAATCCAGTGCTGGTAAGTGCTTTTTTTTATACAATGGACCTCCACATTCCCTGAGAATATCCCTGTTGCTCTGCTGCTATGTACCTCATCCCCCACAGCACACCTTACTGCTGCTCCACCCCAATGTTGTCCCAGAGCAACACAGCTGTAAATCAATGATTTTATTAAAATCCCATGAACCAATGTATATACAAGGCCTGAAAATGTTTTTTTTAAATCATTTACAAAAATCAGTTAGTCTTTCTCTTTTAGTACCGTATTTTGTTTTACCAGTTAACATAAATGTTTAGCAAATGAATAAGTTTTTTAAAAAACTATCAAAACATTTCCCACTAATAAATACTTAATACTAATACTTAATACTCTTACTGCTTTACAGTACACATTCAAGGCACAGTAGAAAACACTAGACAAGAGCCATTGGAGGAAATGCAATAGCACATTTGTGCAGCCATATTATCCTGTATTTTGATCTTGTCAGATATCAAAACCCAAGTTGGATCAAGATGTGAAGACCTTCAAAAATAGCAGGTACTGCAAGAAACATTGGTGGTTCAGTAGGTGTTGCTGTTCCCTTCGTGTCAGAACTACAATAATACATCTGCATCGTGTGAAGGGGCACTTTGCTACTTGAGGTGCCATCTTTTCAGAACATTCTTGATTATTAGAGATCTTATGGCAAATTTCATGAGTCTGGGCTGGTGTCAACCTTTGTTTCCTGAACACATTCCCATTTAGATAATACATATTTATGTCTAAGTTACTCCACCAGTTTCTCCTGGATGTTTTTCACCTCCTGCTGTGTAGTATATGCTCTGCTGTTTAACCACCAAGATTCAGTGATCTCTATTTACAGTATCTCCTATCTACTTCATAGGGGGAGGAGATGTTTAATTAATGTTTGTAAAGCACTTTCCTTAGCTGGAAGCCAGGAGTGCAAAATATTGTAGTTAGTAAAATCAAGCTTCTGGTGTTGTAGCAGAATGCAGGATTCCTAATGCTACTTTAGATTCTTCCACTTCTGTCCCCCGATAGTAAACCATAGATGTACTGTAGCCAAAAGGACGAAATGAGAGAGAGGTCCCTGTGGAGAAGGGACTATCTTAACCTAAAATTATTTGATATGAGGAGATGTTGTTCCAGGATAAGTATTAAAAAAAACTGTATGATGGGGTGTGTTGTGGGATGAAGACCAAAAAGAACATGCTGCTGGGTGCACAGAGACACAGATTCCAGGACAGAAGCTCCACCCAGTCTACCCATTTTGAACTTTGGAGGTCTTCGATTTGAAGGACTCCTGATGTGAGAGAGAGTAGAAGGTGGACAGCTAGACTGTGATTAGGAAGGGAAGCATTTACAAAATTAGTGTTTTCCTAGCAGAGTAAAAAGTAGAAGGGTTACTGGATGCTATTGTTATCTTTATTTAATTTCATTAAATAAGAGTTTAGTGGTTTTTTCAAACCCACAGGTCAGAGACCCCTCCCACTCAGTGAGGTTTTGAAGAGATCTGCAGGGAAAAATGTTAGGA